ATCGCGCTTATCGCTTTTCGTCTCTTCACAAAAACTTGTTTCCCCGTTTTGTGCCTAATTTAGAATGGGTAAAAGATCGATATGCGAATCGGATACTGTCTTGTTCGCTGCTATGGCTGGGGCGTGCCAGAGGGTAAGGGCTCTTTTTAGCACTGCCAGTTTTCCACTAATTGTGTTCGCTTGCCAGCTTCCGCCATTGGTACAGAATCAGATAGTGCCACTTCAATCCCATTCCCCCCCCCCCCCCAGACACCTTGACCCAGCATCGGAGCTCTGCACCAAGTTCCTAAATATAAGCTTTGAAATGATGTTTAAGACTCTTACCTGAAGTACTGCTCTGCTGCCGGCATTATTTTTGTTACATTATTCGTATCGTTGATGCATTTGGAACCATAGAAATAGGAATAGTTACCCTTGGAACTGCACTCTTTATCGTTCACTATAGAGGTACAGTGGAGATTTGAATTTTTGACTAAAATTGAAAATTGGAGGAGGATTAAAGGCACATTCCGCGCTGATCGCAAGGGCGGAGTCATTGGACCAGTGCGCGCTCCTCTCAGTAACCTTCCTTTGCCTTCAAGCAAGCGTGACTTGAAGACACATGGTACGCCCACACACGTTGAGGGATGTATGTGACTATCAGCCCCCAGCTGTCGATGTGTCGTGGTTTCCCCGCCCGAAACTGCGGGGTTAGAGTACAGGGCCGTGGGAAAGTCTAATTCGTCCATGCTCCGCCCAAAATGCAACTTGCGGCGCAGATTCCCGTCCTTCATAACATCCGTCGCAAGCGCGCGTGTCGCGTGCGGCTCCTTGGCACTTTGCCAAGTCCTTTAATTGCGCTACAAGTAAAACGCAATTTCCTGATGCGGATAACATTTTAGGTGCTGCAAAATAAGAACCGAAGATGATGACGAGGGCCAGAACTCAAGAGCAACTGTTCTGCAGTATCCCTCGGAGGCCGCGCATTCCCACAAAACATGAAAATAAAAACGTTTAAAGTGTTTCTATAGCTTTGGAGCCGAATTCGCGCCGGATCGCAGAAATTTACACGCGATTTCAATTAATTTGCATTTCCTTGATTTTTTCATTTTGTTTATTTACATCTACATTCGTTGTTCTTCATTTCTAGCCAAGAGAGCTGCGCGCGACACGCGCCGCGCGGAACGGCTGTTAGCATAAACGGTAGGCGGAGCATGGACGAATTAGACTTTCCCACGGCCCTGTACTCTAACCCCGTGCAGTTTCGGGCGGGGAAACCACGACACATCGACAGCTGGGGGGCTGATAGTCACATACACCCTCAATGTGTGTGAGCGTACCATGTGTCTTTAAGATGGCTTCATCGATGCCATCAGCGCCGTGTTTAATTCAATTAGGTCCTTATGCGAAGGCAGTTGGAATGCCGCTTTGGTGTATTTGGGGGCTCATGCACCACGTCACGCTTGCCCTTCCTGTCCAAAGCTGCGTCTTTCGATAGGCTATGAGAGCACAAGGGACATGACAAGAACACTGCATCACTCACGTTTGAACTCAGGTCTTCGGCAGGAACTTATAGCCTGGGCGCTTTTTATAATATTCCACATATGCACGCTGAACAGATATGACCGTTGTACAAAAAGCACACTACGAAGGCACCCAATGAGAAATATTACTATTCCAAATCCTGAAAGTTATACTGATTATAGGATTAATTACTAATAATAATGAATAATATTAAAAAAGTAAAAAGGCGAGATCTGAGTAAGACAGCCCCTTGGAAATGAAGTCTGCTCAAGTGGGCTCTTCAAGGGCACATTTCACGATAGCAAAGCACTGATAATGAGGCTTAAATGTGAATTTAAAGATACTACGGAGAAAAAGCGAAGAAGAAAGTTGACAAGCCCTTAAGCGAGCACCCCCACTCTTCGTCGTCTGGACCAGAGAAAAGAAGGCGAAGAGCGGGGGTGCACAGAATAGCGAAACTGCTATTCATTGTGCGACATTTATTGCAGTGGGCGTTCTGTACACTGGGAGGGCGTGGTCGGCCCAAATCAGACAGGCTCTTATCGCGCAGTTTCGAGCAGCGAAAGTAGTAGAGCCCTCAAAGATGTGGACTCGCCCACCTTATGATACAAGAAAGAGGGTTGCGATTTGGCTCTCTGGGTGCACTTTGCTCGTCCCGATTGATTGTTGGTGATGCCTTCTGTGAAAACTTGTAAACTCGTAACGAGCTATGCAATAGGACGAGCTCCGTCCGCACTTGACAGGATACCACAAGTTTCACCAAGTTGATACGTATAGTTTTTCAGAAACAACCAAGAAGAACTAGTGAGATTGCAAAATGTCGCCCCCCCCCCCAGAGTAAAAAGCGCCTTCAGGATTCATTCTTTTCAGTCATGTGCGTATTGTGAAATATGCCCTAATCTAAGTATTCCATCATAGCATTAGCAGTGGACACAACAAACCTATGAACAATCGTCCATACATATTGAATGTTTTACAGACACCACTTTGACACATTTGACCAACGAATATTTCCAGATTTAGTAAAGGAAATACGATGAAATAAATCATCAGTAAATATACCAGAAGAAAAAAGGCTAAATTATGTGTATTCTGGCTCAAAGTTTAGAGGAATGTCAATTTCAAACATGTAGGTTTAGAAAAGATAGTCGGGTGCTACTTCAGTGGGAGTCCGCAGTTTAGTGTTGGGACATGTCAGATCTTGTGACACGTCACTGGCTTGGGAGGGGCGTCCGGAGTTAGAGGCCATTTTTCACGAAATGCCTAAAACGCTTTTCTCATTAAAGGAAGAACCCGCGATTACTCGCCATCGGTGGATTAGGGGGTTCCATATAGACGACAAGGGGTTGAGTAACTCGACTGTGAACAAAAAAAGCACAAAAAACATGCCACCTGCCCTAGATAGAACCCCATTTCGATCCCAGTTTGTACGTGCCCAATCAACTCTATCTCCAAAACTACGCCCTCATATGCACGGCTGATTCACCGATAAGATTTCTACGATCGTACAAGTGGCGATTATCATGCTTTTTCGTCCTGCAATCTCATTTTTCACTGGAAGTCGGTCATTAGGGGCGGAGTCACTGGAAAAAAGGAGGAGCCACTGAACCTATATTGCGCTACAGCGCCCCTCCCATAGAATTTTTTGCCGCGAAACCGGTACAAGGTTGTTCGTCGCGGACCACTCTAACCTCCTGACGCCATATTTTCAACTTCGATACCTGATCGCGGACCGTGGTTTCATTCAGCCACATTGGATTTTCTAGGGAGGTGGGCGATTTTATCGCGAGTTGGTCAAGTCACGCCGCTCATCGCGCGGCGTTCGGAGCGGCTAGTTCGAGGGGGAGACAGGCAAGAGTCGTAATCCGCCGCACGCGCGCGGTGTGGGCGCGGCGTTTTCTTAACTCGTGTTAACCTGTCGATTGGAGCACCGGACTTCATGTAGACCCCGTCATCGTAGACATTCATGACTATTTTCGGTTCTGAATTGCCTGTTGTCGCCATCTACTACCTGGAACCATCGTCATTTGCGGGCGCGACGTCGCGACGCGTGTCGTTAATGCGGGGAAATTCACCACAACACCAACATTCCACTAAGGGATCGTCCTTTCGTGATACATTCAACAATTCGAGCGAGCCATGAGGCAACACAACTCGTACGCAACGACTGCGGCGTAACCAGCTCCGCCCAATCTTCAGCACTCTGGCGAGTCACGAGAAATCGTGCAAACTTTTGGCGCATCCTAACCCTAAGTTTGACATGTTAGGTTGCGGACCTCTACCAAAATATGTAGCACCTATCGCACCCACGAACCTCCGCCATGTTTGACAAACTCTCCTTGAAAATATAGGAAGTTCACGTCAGATGTGACCAGGCAGCAAAACCATAACCAGTCTGTCACCTGGGCGTTATATATCTCCCGATCTGGAACATACACTTCAATCATTCTCCTTGATGTAAGACTCATGACGATTTTACCGGTCTCCTCATGGTGCTGGTCCCACCACTGTTTCGGTCTCGTTACATCTTCGAAAATGAAGTGCTGTAATTCTCAGTTACCGTATGGGAACGCTTCAACGGAGCGGATGCTTGTACTAGATCTCACCTTCAGTACGTCTGGGTGTGTGTCCTGTACACCATCTTCGAGCACTCTTGCACGTATGCTTTGCAAATCCTGAACAGCAGCTGTCAGACCTGGCTATTGAGCTGCCAACCAAAAGAAATGAGCATAGAAGCCCCAAATATAGGAGATCGGGAATGACGAAACGGGCGGGGATCCCATCCCTGAGTCTTGCCTAGCTCTGTGTATTTCTTGGTTAGCTACGACGGCAAGTTGTCGATTCTTTTCTGCAGACGATTATCAAAGTCTTCCTTATATCGAGGGATGATAGCGACCAGCTACGCGGGCTTTGGAACCAAAATCTCCGCCCATTTTCCTTACCGCCTCATCCTCTGAGGGCGCCAAAGGTTATCTCTTCGCGTTTCTAGTCTCAAATAAGAACGGTACACTTACCTCCGAGTATCGTCCCTGCGATGTGGCTGAGGGCGAAGGCGAAGTGATCGTGGCTACAGTAGCGTGCTATTTTCTTGGTTCAAAACCGCCCAAGTACGAGGTTGTAGGGGGGCTATTCTACCATATCTCCCCGCTATCCTCAAGGTGCAGCACTTGCATCGATGCCAAGAGAACAACTAGTCGAGAGAGACTTCAGAGAAAGAGCACGTTTGGCCATGGTAAGCGTGTGCCGTGCGACACCTCGGGGCGGAGTAGAGATTTAGTCAAGTAACACTAGCCCTACAGCTCCGTTTCCTCGCACGTTGTACGGAGAGGGTGGCAAGGACCAGGAATCACGGATGGTACAGTCTGTTTTTAAGAGGACCTATGTTACACCTGCACCCGAACTACAGTTGCTGTGACTATATATGTACAGCCCAAGGGGGAAAAAGTCACGTTCTGTAGGCGACTAATTTTTGACTCAAAATGAAAATTGTTCGTAGTTTACAATGAACTCACCGCATCAGTTTCCACATGTTTCCAAGGAAGCATACGATTGATGCGCTGCCAAATTGTTGGATATCGTACCGGTACTACTTGCGAAACTTTCAAGTATCTGGATTCTGTTTCCGCTTCTTGTTGTGCTCGTTTCGATTGAGTTGCTGACTGAGGTGCTGATTGAGGTCTTGACTGCGGTCTTGATTGGGGTTTTGACTGAGATCCCGACTGCGGTTGTGATTGGGGTTTCGAGCGAGGTTTCGACTGTGGTCTCGATCCAGGTTCCGACTTAGGTTTTGATTTGGGTGCTGATCGAGGTTTTGACTGAGGTCTTGGTTGACGTTGTGATTGAGGCTCTGACGCAGGTTTCGATTGAGGTTGTGACTGAGGTGAGTGAGGTCTTGAACCTCTGGGCTGAAAAAAAAACTTTTCATACGATCATTTACTTACGTGAATGTGTTGACAAAATATCGCGAGCGAGCCTGCTGATGTTGAGGCTGCTGTTAGGTTGTATTCATACTTTGCGTCCACCACCGACCAACAGCGTCCAGCAGCGCTTCCTGCGTCCGGCGACGTCAACGATTAGAGAATTATAAATATCGATCTAGCGTTTGCCAGCGTCTGCTAGCATCCGACAGCGACCAGCAGCGTCTTGAAGTGTAGGGAAGGACCTCACTCCCATCTCTCTTCCATCTGTTTTTTTCGACCTACCCGACTTTTTGCTGACTCGTCCTTTGCTACTTCTTTTTTGGAGCGCGATGATGGTCCAGCAGATTTCATATCTTGTTTACCTCTCTGTTAAAAGTAACCATGAATTGGGTTGAATGTCAAAGTGGTGAACGTAATGGTCGGTAACGTGGGCGGGAGAAAAACTGGGCACTTGGCAACTGGTAATCTGCGCCTCTTCTGAGGATGAACCGGTGAAAAAGA